TTTGGGGGAATTCCAAAGCAGGTTCGTATAAACTATAAGTTTCAAACAATAATATTGAGAAGATCCGAGTGTTACACAGAAATTTTTTTATATCATAAGATTAGTTATAAACCGCAAAACATCCTAATCTTTGTGGAAAAGTATAGCATTTGTTATTGAAAAATAGATATTGATTAATCTCAATTATAAAGTCTCTAATTACTATACAATATACAGTAGTTGGTTAAATGCTGATTTTTGTATAGCCGTCAACTATGAATTTTCTCTTTTCTAAAAAAAACTCCCCCATTAAAGATTCGGTAGTGGCGATTGGCTCAATCGTTTAAATGACAATGTTTTGAATCGCAGTTCGTAGTTTTATCAACTACTTTATTCGGTTTGTATAGGCTCCATCGTTCAAATCATGACATTATACCCATCATTTGTATTAACAATTAAAATATTCCATCATTATTTTAAAATTTTGATCTTTAAGCAATAGACATATCCTAGTGAGGTCCTCGATCGATGCTTTTGTTATTATACTGTCCACCACATAAAATACTATTATTCAATGTATGATCTTTCCATCGTATACTATTTTTATGGAAGGCACATGCAAACGATGCATGAAGACCGACCAATCCTATTCTGGAAAAATCTCGCGACAACGATGAATGGTTGGTATGTTGCCACGTGGTCAAGATCCACGGTGTGGGAATTGACTGGGACCCATGCTTTCCCTCCTCGTGAGGTCATCAAATAAGAAAGCCACCGATGATAGAGACGTGTATGGTCAAGATTTGCCCTAAAGCAGATCCCTAATTACACGGCTCAGATTCTATTAGCGGCTATTGTAAATACTTATTTCATGATCCAACGGTTTAGATTCAATCGGCGGTGACCGTCCTGCAGTGTATCTCGGGACTTGGACTGTATTTTTGCAATTTGGTAATGTAAACTTGAAGCTATAACATTAATTAACTGCGATATTTTATTCATATACAAATAAAATATACGCATTATTATTGGTGGTTTATTTCGGGTTTATTTCGTTTATAAAAAGGAAACAGCCGTGCATTACAACATCTGTCCTCTCTCGAGGTTAGGGTATCTTTAGAGAGTTTTTAATTTGTTCGAACGATCCTTTGGATCTTTTAATGGAAGCTTGAATATTAACATGTTTTAGAAACTCTTCGTTTATTTTTGTTCTCTTTTCATAAAACCTTGAAAATTTATCAACTTAAAGGGCTTTTTCGATCGTAATATTTGTAGATCGTCGCCATTTAAACGTATTATATTTCTTTCCTTTGTTTTTGTCGTTCCAAAATCTTCAAAAATTAATACTCTTTTTAAAATTTAATCAATAATAATGGATACAATTTCTATGCAACGTTCATCACCGGGTAAACAAGTTTCGGGCTTGAGACCATTCAAGAACCCTAGAAGAAGAAAGTCTCGTGGTTCGCTTTCAAGATCCGGTGGAAGTTTGGCTCTTCCGATGAATCCGACGTCGTCATGGGGTTCTTCTCCGGCGCATCCTCCGCCTCCGCCTTCTAATTACTCTCAGCCTCCTCTTCTCCCTCTGCCACGTGTCAACAGCTCAACTCTTCCTCTACAACGTCTCAATAGCTCTCGTCCACGTGTCAACAACTCCACTCTCCCTTCCGAACCACAGAAGAAGAAAGTAGAGTTTGCTGAATCCGTAACGAGTCTGACTCGAACCGGTTCGGTTCCAGTCCGGTCTAACTACTCGGGTGATTTCCCTAGAGGGTTTGATGGTTATCCCGGTCCAGCGATCATGTTGTTATCTCCTCCGCCGAGTAGTTTGCCTATGCCTAGGTTTTCTATCAAACCGAAGCTTCGTTGCAACGCAGAAGCTGCCGGTAAAATCAATGACGTAGCCTCCGCCGATAACATCCGGCGAGTTTTACAGCTCCGGTGAAAAAGGTGGTGGTGCTACTACGTACGTAACGTTGACGACGATTACTACAAATAAAATAATTAAACCCAATGGGCTTTTGATTACTTTAATGGGCTTGGATCTGTCTTTGTTTTAAAAAGTGATAGAACTCTCTCTACTTTTGTGTGATTTGCTAAAGCCGTGACTTTTTTAAAAAGGCTCCTTGGCACAAAATAGACTGGCCGTGTATTAGTTTTCTCAATTTGATGTTTCTTTGTATAAGATTATTGTCAAGAGACTAATAAAAAAAAGTTTCTGAATATGATATTGAACTAGATTTTTAAAAAAGTTTCGGGATTAAAATATTCGAAAATAAAAAATCATAATTTTTTATAATATATGAGAGAAATTAAAAAACAGAAAATATTAAATGGTATATCTCTTATATAGATAAATATATTCTATCTTACAAAATTTAATCAGCATGAAACTTAAATTAAGTGTAAGCGTTTTTAATATAAATCGAATACGTTTGAGATTATGAGTTCTCTCAAACTTATTTGAGCTCATCAAACCTAAAAAATATCGCGTTAATATATAAATTTTCTT